AACGAAAAAACGAAAATGAAAATTTGCTTGATAATTCAACTACGCTTGTTGGAGAACAATAAAAACACTACACTCAACAAGCAACCAATAAAACTCAACTGCCTAACCTATAACCATTTTAATTTGTTTTTAAAAAAAAGCGCTTGACAAACTTGCCCCGCATGCCGAAGTTGCCCCGGTCTCCCCTATATATTAAGACATGAAAATTGTCTTTTTTTAATTAAATATTTTATATAAAATCATAATTTTTATGCAAGAGATTTATAGAATTTTAAGCTAAAAAACTCTATATAAAGTTAAATTTTATTAATTAATATTTATATAAGTATACAATAGATTTTTAAAATTAACTTATATAAAAAACAAAGTATTTCTCCTTATTCTTTTATAATTGTTTTATTATTATTATTTATTAAATAAATTTTCCAGAATTTTTCTTCTATATTTAAATATTACACATTTTACATGAAAAAAGTTTAGTTCGTCTGTTTGCTGTCGTTTAAACACAAAATATTTTAAAACGGATATGAAATTATGTTTTACACAATTAAAACTCATAAAATTTAAGGAAAATAATTAAAATATTAACAAAAATGTACATAAATTTTATATACGATGGTTCTATATTTTATTTTATATTATAATTATATATACATTTATTCTTAAGGAGTTCAAGAACTGCATAAATAGTTTGAGAGCTTCTTAGTAAAAGTTTTCTATGAGAATATGAAAGACGAAAGAACATGTTAAGCATCAAAAAAAGCTCAAGTAAGGAATATTTAGCGTCTGAATTGATAAAAGTTTAAACTCGAATATTTTACTTAAACAGAAAAAGATTTATAAAAATTATATTTTGAGTTTCTATAAAACGTAGAAGAATAAATTCCTCAAAAATGTGGAATTAAATTGCTTTTTTAATAAATTTTTTACTTGTTGAAATCTTAAAATTCTTAAAAATTAGACTTTTAAATGCCTAATTTTTCATATTGAAACAATGAAAATTATTTAATTAATACATAAAATATTCTCATTAAAGTTAGAAAATATAAAGGAATTAGTTATATATGTTTGTTATAAATTGATAAATTACCTTCGCATTCTTTAGCTGCTTTGGCCTTCATTACAAGTACAATGATGACAGCAATTAAAACTAGACCCACTATCACAGAAACTAGAACAATCAAAACCGGACTGAAGTTCACTTGCCAATCTTCATCTATCGAGCAGTAAATACTTTAAGTAATTTGTTAAATAATTACAAGCATAACGTGTATAAATCGAAAGAAACCAACCCTTTTGCGTTAGGCTTTCAGGAGGAGAAAGGGTACTAGTTTTCACTACAATACCCTGACTTCTACCTTTCATATTCACTGCATATACAATGACTACAAGGCTGGTGGATGAAGGCAGATGCCGTGCAACAAACACAGGAATATCAGACGTCATATTTCCTTCGATTCTCTGAACCGAACTATCGTATATTTCCATAACAAAGTGTTGAATCAATCCACCATCGTACCCTTCAACACATCTCACCACTAGAGATTCTTCCGTTTGGTTGCTGACTGTGCAGTTCTGTAGAGGATCAGGTGGTCCTATATACATAAAATAAAATATAAAGATATCAAATTGATATCATATTAGAATAAAAACAAAATAAATTTATATTGAAAGTAATAAAATCTCAGTGCAACGCACCAGAGTAATACCTGCTGGAATAATGGTGAATATACATGGTTCTTTCTGTAATCCAACATTATTTTTACCCCAGCAGAGTAATGTTCCATAATCGTATTCTGTACGTGGTAAATATGTTGCTGTACTAAGGTTGTTATCACTGCTGAATGTTGAAATATCCAAACTCTCAGCGGAATTGTTGAATTTCCAATAAAATGTTACTTTTAACGGATCTGCATCTATCTCGCATGTAACATTTACAGCCTCATGCCTAGCAACGCCATACAACCATTTCTGATCTGATTTGCATACCGGAGAGTCTATTTTGGAGAAATAGTGTCAATGAATGTCCAAATTGAGGTATACTACATACATTTTTACAATTATTTTATTCTATTTTTGACATTTTTTGTGTGTGTTTCGATGTGAAATATCGATTGGAACGATACTATTTAATTTTTAAATATTTCTTTAAAATGTTTACATTTTTTTGAGGATGATATTCTGTTTCGTTATATATATAAATAAAATTTTTTAACGAAAATTTGAGGTATAATTCAGTAGAAATTACTACTTATTAACTGAAGAAAGATAAAGAACACGGAAGATATGTTTTCCTAATTAATAATTTAGAATTTATTTATATTAATTCTTAAAATTAGAAATGAAAATTAATTTTATAAACTTTTTTTAGTTTAAAGTAATCCGGAATTAAATTGAAAAAGCGCTACTTAAACTATAAATCACGCTCACATTGTACTCTCAGATAAAGTGAATTGCTTTCGCCTTTTCCTTCAATATTTGTTGCTGTACACGTATATCTTCCTCTTGTCGATCTTTGTACTTTTTGTAGAACTAAACTCTGATTGCTAACGATAATTCCAGCAGTTGTATTAGTGTGCAATTCGCGACCTTCGAACCTCCATCCTATATCAGTTACCCACGGATTAGCTTGAATATCACATTCCAAATACACATCGTTTCCTTCTTGTATATGCGAATGACGTAATTTACTTCCCAACCTCAGAGTAAGTTGTGGAACAACTGAAATCAATAAAAAAATTAAATAGAATAAAATATTTTGCTTGTTTAAGGAAGCAAAAAAAAATAACAGTTTTATTAATTGAATTCTGATATAACTCCGCATCATGGTAACGATAACAAACAGAAAGATAGTGGAAATAAGACTGTCAACACCTGTCTGATTTTTTCATTAATAGCCTATTCAAGCAATTTTTTATATATAATATTTTCCACTGAATATTATAACTTTATACAGATTTTTTGATAGGATTTATTATGTAAGGACATATTAAAGACAGGGGTGTTTTCGCGATAACGGTTCCGCATGATCCAAAGAAAATTGCAAGTAAAAGGAAGATAAGAAAGAAAATATTTCTTACAGTTTATCTCCAGTTTCCAATCATCTTCTATCGCATTGCCTGGCAGTATCGGGTTTTCAGCCCGACAGGAGATATATTTTCCAGTATCCTCGATCGTTGGCACAAAAGTCAGTATGCTGCTCGTAATGTTTCCTTCATCCGAGATTTTTTCTCTAGTTCGTTTCATCTTTGTACTCCCTTTCAACCAAGTGATGACAGCAGGAGGACGAGAACCTCCAGCACGGCACATTAAATCCACAGTTTTCTGTGCTGACAACGGTAGATGTTTGCCTTCTATTTGTACCTCGAGTGGAGGCACTGAAAACGAATAACCAAACATTTTAATGCTTTTCATATTCTTCGTTCCAGATTTTCGATATGGACATTATATAAAATTTTGTATTTTTTATTTTATTTTTAAGCATCGAATGGCTTCGACTTAAAAAAAAGAAAAAAAAAATACTAAACGTTAGAGGAGTCAAGAAGTCGGCGCAGCTGGCAAAAATCCATTATTTTCTATGGAGAGTTTTAACAGTTTCAAGTAGTGGGTTGAAAGAATGGTTCAAGCATTTGGTATGAAAGAGCAATCTACACAGAATTGTTTTTTCTTGAACACATAGTACCTTTTAAGAATACTTACGAATTGATTTAAGAAAAGTTAAATTCTATTTTTATACGTTTATATATATATAATTGAAAATAAAATCAAAAATTATTTTAAAATAATTTTAAAGTTAAATTATTAATATATAAAATTGTAAGTNATAATTTAGTAATAATTATAAAAAAATAATTATTGTCCATATTTAGTTTTTTAAAATAATTGTTAAATTTTTAGAAAAACATATTTAAATAAAATCATTAAATTATTGTGTAATAAAATTTTTTTAAGATATAGAATAATATATATTAATTAATTTTATAAACATTTTCACAAACCACTTTATAAAATAAACCTTTCATTATTAAATTTAAAAATATCAAGAGTTAAAATATATATTTTAAAAAATATTTTGACAAACATACTGCAAGAACATTTTCATTACTTAATTAAAATTAAGAAGAGGGGGGAAGAGGGAGAGAGATTGAAATCGGAATCAAGTTTCTTGTAATTTGCATATAAAATATCTAGAGAAAATAATCAAATTTTTCTGAAAAAGACTAAAATAATTATTTTTATAATTTCAACACGTTTTATGAATAATCATAAATATAAAATTGTATATTTTTTTAATTTTAAAACACAAATATCTTAAATTTAATGCTCGAAGCTATACTTGAAAAAGAATGAAAGAAACTTATAATTTAAAAAATTTCCATTATCACCAACAATAAATTTAAATTAATAAACGAATTTTAAATACATTTCTTTTGTTTTAAATCTATAATTTAATTATAGACTGATCAAAAACTTAGTTAACAGTGTTTTATTTCGCGTGTTTCTGGTATACACTTGTGAATTTAAACCGTAAACTGAGGTTAAAATTTTTTTCTTCTTCTTTCTACAAAATCAATAGAAAAGTAAAATTACCCATGAAAGGTAGTCAAAAAGTCGGTTAACCATTGTAAAGACTCAATCGCTGCCTTATTCAAATACTTCATTTTAAAAAGTGTAGTTAATATTTGTGACAGCAATTTATTCATACTGACTTTTGGAACACCCTGTATAATATATATACGCAAAAAATTTAACAAATTCTTCTCTTAACATAATAAAAGAGATATTTAAATATAATTTTGTATATATTTATTAAATTTAACGAAAATACATTATTTAAAAAAATCCTAATAATAAGTCGAGTTTATAAACTTTAACCAGATGTCACATTGCGTGGAAAAAAAGAAAAAAATGGTATTAGTCAGCAAAGCAGAAAATACAAAATTTATTTGGAAAGGAAACATCGCAGTGCAGGTGGTTCCGGTAAAGTGGAAGCTGACGGCTTCCTTGTCTATAATCAACAACTGATATATCGATTTTTACAGGTTTTCACGGTTTCCTGTGGTATCTATGGTCGACAATGTAGAAATCTAGAGTCTTGACTCTACGTAAACATACCTTTTGTACTTCACTCCATATAATTAAAGTAAGGAAGTAAAGTATGAAGTGTTACAACTAATTTGAAATATTTTCCATATAAAACGTATATATTAGTCTAGTGTAATATAAACTTCTGAACCATCCTGTGTACGTGTATCTTTGATATAAAAAATATATTTAACATTAATTCTAGTTCTTTTTTCTTTACTTCCTTTAATTACACTTAGTGATGCATGAAAAGTGTGTTTACATATAATCAAAATTCTTTCGATTTATACTTAGATGCAGGCCTCTTCTATGTATATATATATACACATACATACTTATAAATTACTACTTAAACATATTTATGTTTTTAATATTAATTTTTCTAACTAGTGCCATTGTATAGAATATCAAAATGATGCTCTCGCATCAGTTATGATGCTCGCATTATGGCTTCTTAGGGCTCGGGCGATTTAAATTAGAGGGCTCCATGAAATTTTTGGGGCTTTTTTGAGCAAATATTTTCATATAAAAGATTCGTGGTGCCTCCAGGCAATTGCCCATTTTGCCCTTAAGCCAGTCTCTAATACAGTTTGGAGAATATTCTACAGAAGATTTTTATATTACATGTTAAGAGGGCAACAGTTTGTATGTTTTCGAATGAAATACTGTACTTTCTAAAGAATTATGACTAATTTATATATATTTATTAAATTTATAAATATTTAATAAATTCATTATTTGATATTTTAGTTTCTTATTAACGCATCAGTGGAACAATAATGAATTTTTCATTTTAAGAGAGATAAAGATTAAAATTAATTACTACTTACTTTTACAATATTTATTTTATTTAAAACGTTGAATAAATACGTTATTTTTATCTTTGGAAAATATTTTAAAATTATGTTTATTCTTTAAATTAATTAAAAAATAAATTAACATTTTTCTTAAATAAGTAAATATTAACAAAAATTAAATTCAGAAGTTTGAAGATTGATTTGAATATATTTTATATGCCACGTTATTATAATTTCGTAGAAATTTGTGATTTGAACACGAATTAATAATTAAACTTTAATGAAATACTAATTAAGAATATTCTATCCGGTACAAGCTTTAAAATAAATATTTACACTGACCAGATTACGCTACTTAGTTGAATTTCACTTTACAAATATTTAAACAATCCACAAAATTAATAACAATTCCTTATTAATGAATTATATGAAAACTATGTTATTTATAATTATTTTTGATAAACAATATTTTGCAGATATCACCAGAGCTTTTTTATAGTTGAGAGATCACCGCATCACTTGCTTTTTATGAGGCCTTCAATATATCAAAAGGCTTCAAGAGATTCCAGAGAGACTCACTTACCTTTATCAAGTTCCAAATTTATTTTATAAATCAGCAAAACGAAAATACATTGAAGTAAATAATTTGTAACATATGTTTCGAGTCCCTATAATTACGAAACTTAGGCTAAATGGCTCTTGCATAGGGCAAAAATTGATAAAACCACTAAACACTAATTTAGGAGTTTGTACCCCATCAACGAGCTGGACACGTGGAATTTTTGGGTTTCGTAAATAAAAATTCGTATTTATTTTATTACATAACATGAAGAATTGGCTAAATTTTCATTTCTGTAAGATATATTTTGTTTAAAATCTAGATTTTAAGTGAGTAAAAATTACTTATTGAAAATCAATTCTTAAATATTTAATGATTGACATATGCTAATAATTAACTAGTCCAATTATTGCTGGATTAACTAGGTTACATAAATATTTTTAGATGATTAATCTAATATTTTGAGTAATTTTTGGATAGAAAGTATTTTAATAATTAGTATAACTTGTTATTGATAAATTGGCTTGTTGCCATTTATTAATTATTTACTAATTTTTAAATAATTAATTTAAGTTTTAAATTAAATTAAAAATGATACTATTTGAGATCTGAACACATGGCACCATGTGGTTCTTAATCAGTTATTTCATTGAGATGCTTTTGAATGAATTTTAAATGGAGATCCCAACAATGAGTAAAGTTGCAATAAGGAATTCGTGATCTTAATTCTTGATGATTTTCCATAATTCCTCTTCCCTACTTATTACAAAGTTCCCTATTCTTCACCCATTACAAGCTTCCTCCATTCTTTATCTATTTTTCATGGTTAGTTAAGAGCTATTCCCTATTCTTCGCCCATTATAGATCCAACTCACTCTTAATGGATCCCATATGGCTCTTAATGATGTCAACCTTGCACCATAATGAGTAAAATTAATGCCTATTATGCGACCATAATAGTCTTTAAAGTCCACTATGGGCTTTTATTAAACACTGAGGATTACTAGATCGTGAAAAATCAAATTCCATTTGCTAAATTGTCATTACAATTAAATAATTGATTCTGTATATAATAAAGATTATATGACCAAAACAAATAAATAAATTCTTTAATTGCAATTAAATCTTTACTTCAGTGTAGAAATTTTTAATTTGAATAAATATAAATATGAAAATTTCAAATAATGTACATTTTACTTAATTATTATGAAACGAAACATTAAGTCTGACACGAGATATTCTGATAAATTGTTTCTCTGTTACACCACAAACCATTTATAAAGTGTGACAAAACTTTGGCAAAGTACAATGTAATTGTAGACTTTTCCTTTTACAGTTGTAACATGAAGTGAAAATTTGAAGTTCTTATCACGGACAAAATCTGAGAAAAGGTTTGTAGACAAACAACCGACATACGAACGAACTAATATTAGACAAAACGAGAAAAGAAAATGTTTTTCCTCTCCAAAAGTCTCATTTTTCAAACAGTTTTTCTACATTTATTTATTAAATTTTAAGAGATGTAATTTAAGAATTTTTTACATTAATTATCTTAAAATATTCCTATAATCAATGATAATCATGATTTTAATTTTAAATATTTATTTCAAGACATTTTTATTGCATAAAATTGATTCTCAAATTAAAAAGGCTGATAAATCTTGTAATTCATTTAGGAATTGTGCCATATTTTTAATTTACTTTTTGTATTAAAAATTTAAATATTATCTGAATCTTTTATAGAATTTACTTTTACTTTTATGCATATAATTTTTTTTAATTTAAAATTAAAAGATAGATTGGTTGCATCATAAGCATCATCTCTACTTTTAAAATTCATATATCTTGATTTATATATTGAGAATAAAAAAGAAAATTGTTATAGCTTTATTCGGCTTGTTTTATTACATTTATTTATATATAAATCATAAAATAA